TCTTGAGAGACAACCATATGGAATAAAAATCAACGGGGATCTACTTAATGTGAACAGATATGCAGACGATACAGTGATTCTATCAGATAATATTGAAGGTCTTCAAATTCTACTTGATCGTATTCACGAGGTAGGAGAGCAAATGGGCAATAAAATAAACTCAAACAAAATCAAATTTTTAGTGTTTAGTCGTGACTCACTTCCCGATGCAAAGCTTCAATTAAACGGAGTCCAAGTTGAGAAAGTTCACAAAATGACATATTTGGGAACTGTGATAACGGACCAACTAAATCCAGACAGAAATAAAACGCAGAATAGCAATGACTAAAACTACTTTAGTGAAAATGAAGTCATTTCTTTGCACTACCCATCTCAGTTTAGAACTAAGGCAAAAAATGGTTAAGTGCTATGTTTGGTCTGTACTTTTGTATGGTACAGAAGTGTGGATGCTAGAAGTATCGATCAGGAACAAAATTGAAGCATTGGAAATGCGGGTTCATAGACCAATGCTGAAGATACCTTGGACAGCAAGGAAAACTAATGAAGAAGTACGAAGAAGTGTCAACAAAGATAGAGAACTGCTTCTTCTTCTTAACGTGTGCTTATCAAGTCCACTTGATGTTGGCAATTAACATGGCGAAACTATCTCCATCTCGAGCTATTCTAAAGAGTTGCTCAGCTTTCCTTATTCCTGTCCACTCCCTGATATTTTTCAACCAAAAGGCCTTCTTCTTCACGTGCCATCTCCGCTACGAAGATTGGCTATCATCATGGCAATTTTGACCCTGGAGGCTGCCGCTCGGAACAATTGTATGGAAGTGCAAGCAAACCACTCCCTGAGGTTTCTCAACCACGACATTCTTCTCCTACCTATGCTGCGCCTACCTTCAATCTTTCCTTGCATAATTAGTTGTAACAGTTGATATTTATTCCCACGTGTAATATGTCCCAGGTATTGTAGTTTCCTCATTTTAACACTCAATACGACCTCCTTTTGTTTGTTCATCCTGTCTAATACAACTTGGTTAGTTATCTTATCCTTCCAGGAGATTTTTAACATTCTTCGGTACGCCCACATCTCAAATGCCTCCAGCTTAATCATACATTGCTTATTTAGTGTCCACGCCTCCACCCCATACAACTAGACCGAGAAAACATAACATTTAAGCATTCGTATTTTCAGCTTTAGGCTTAGGTTACGGCTACACAACATTTGTTTCATATTGTTAAAGGCACTGCGGGCTTTCTCTATTCTAATTCTTATTTCTCTGGTGTATTCGTTTGACTCGTTAATATTTGTTCCGAGGTAATTGTAATTTTGTACTCGTTCAATGCGATTCTGTCCTACATGTAAGTTGATATTATTGATACGTTTCTTTGTAATTATCATGAATTTGGTCTTCTTTGTATTCAGTGACAGACCAAATTCTTCACTTGCTTCTACCACTTTGTTTAGTAATCTCTGTAGGTCTTCAATATTTTCTGCTATGAGCGCGGTATCATCAGCATATCGAATATTGCAAATGGGGTGACCGTTGATCTTTATTCCGGCTTTTTCGTTCATAAGAGCTTTTTTAATAACTTCTTCCGCGTAGACATTGAACAAGGTTGGAGACAACACACAGCCCTGCCAAACCAAAAGGCCTGCTTTCTACCAATTCCTCTGCGTCCTTCGATTTTACCCATCATAATAAGTTGAAGAATATTATATCGGTCTCCCCTTACTACGTGTCCAAAATAGGCCATCTTTCTACATTTGATGTTATCAAGCTGCTCGCGAGCAGCATTTGCTCTCTCAAGGACTGCCACATTTGTCAGCATAGCTGTCTATAGAATTTTTAGTATACGTCTGTGCAGCCACATTTCAAAGGCCTCCAGACGATTAATGGTGGATGTTTTTAATGTCCATGCTTCGATACCGTATAAGAGGACTGGCCAATCGTAACATTTAACCATACGCTTTCGAAGTTGAAGTTGCAAGTTATCATTACAGAAGAATGACCTCATTTTTAAAAATGTAGTGCGGGCTATCTCGATTCTGCTAAAGGCTGTTAAATATTGAGAAATGTCTTCTCTCGGACATATAGTAAGGGGAAGTCGACATAAAATATTACATTTGATCCTTAAAGGCAAAATATAGGGCCGTAGAGGTGTAGGAAGAAAATAAGTTTCTTGGTTAAAAAGCAATCGTGAATGGACTCAGATACCAAATGCAGGACAATTATTCCACATTGCAGAAGATCGAGAAGCCTTCGCAATGGTGATCGCTAACGTCGGATAATTCTGATATGGCACGCGAAGAAGAAGAATATTTGTTTATGTTACTCCAAACATGTGTTAATTTAAACTCATCATGGCTGAGAAGCAAGAATAAACAGTCATAAGCCAAACATAAAAAAGAAAAGAGAAATGACGCAACTTTTTAACAAATTAAACATATTTTGATTATAAAGTATGTGTTATCTTTGTGTGACTCAATTCTAATTGATAAAGATAAGAATGACTCTCCTATATTTTGAATTTAACTTATGTAACAATATGATGTTGCAAAATCCACAGGTTGGTGCTCTATAACCTCTCGAGATGAAACAAACATATTTGTTATTATTTATTTTTTCTATATTTTTGCGTCTGAAAAACATGCAAAGATACGACGACCATATGATGAAACGTAGTATTAATTTACTAATGAACTGATATATCTACCACTTAAACGCATGTACTTGAACAAATAATTTGCCAGAAGCGTATTGTAATAATGTTTACTCTCTTGAATTGTAAATTTGACCTAATTGTTCTCTTATCTCTACTTGTATATTTATTATAATTGTTTATAATAATGGTTACTTACATATTTCTTACCTTTGTTGTAATTATGAATAGGTTGACGAAGTTATAGCTCAATTTGGTTTTCACTTTTTCACTTTTTCTGTTGCTCTTTCGACATCATTTTCGTTTAAAACCTTCTGCATTTATTTGATCGGCATATACAATGTCCTGTCAATTTCTTCTTTGTGGGGTTTTGTTGGTATTATATTCAAAAGTATCTTGACATATCATGACCACTCCCAAGTTTTTTGTCTTGTAGTATCACATGCCTTTGTTATTGGTTAGTGTTAGAATAGAGTAGATCTTTAAAATTTCTTTTCTCCGAGGAGGTAGCTTCATAGAATTTTCTTGGGCTGGTTTTTATCTATTGCTTCAAATTTTTGTTGTTAATGGTTTATTTTTTTCTTATTAATTTACTTGTTTCTCTATAGTATTTACCGTATTTCTTGTTACATTGAATTTTTTGTTGTTTTATGTTGTTGTAACTATCTATTTCATATTATTCACCTTTTTGTTTCTAGATAATTTCAATACTTTTCTTCACACCATACTTTTGTCTTCTTTCTTTTATTTTTCAAGTTTGTTAGAATTCTTCTCTATATTTTTGTTATTTTGTCTCATTTTCCAATCCATACGTTTTACTCTGACTTTTTCTTTAATTTATTGTGTTTGAGTGTAGAATTTCTGCTACTCCACAGTCACTCGAGCTATTCACCTCTTAATTTTGTTAGACTAAACCGAGTCATCTGAAGTTTAGAGAGTTGATATGAATGTGCTCTAACAACAAAAGTTATATAACTCCGATGTGTTTTTCCGCCCCAGAGGTGGTTGCAACACCTTCTCGTGGGTGGAAATTCTTTTGCTTAAATTAATCTGGGAATCTTCTACGTCTTCTTCACTGGCTTTTCAACTCGGGGTGAGTCTTAGCCGCATGCACTATTGCCCTCCCTCCTCTACGATCTTGCGCTTCCATATCCCATTGTTATACCCTAATTCTAGATAAATCGGCTTCAACATCATCCTTTCATCTTTTTCTCCGTCGGCCTATTGATCTTCTACAATCTGGTCTTTCTTTATCGCCCCAGGTATCACCCCAGTAAACTCCTTTACTACTTCGAAGTTGTGATCATTAATACTGATGTTCTGCCTAACTCTTGGTCTTGGATTTTTGGTTACTACCATGTATTACGTCTTTTCTTTATTCATTCGGAGACCCAGAATACCTGCTTCCTCCTCGAGCTCTGAAAACACCTCTCTCACGTCTCTTGTAGGTAGAATGCATGACTGCGTCTATGTCATCAGCAACAGTTTTAATCCTTGATCAGCGAATCCTCCTATCAGTTTAGATAATATTTTACTTATTGCATATTCTAAAACAAAATTGAACAGCAACGGTGACAAGGGCCCCCCATGCCTAAGTCCTTAACTTATAAAAAATGGAACCAATGTTTTGCTTTTTATCATATGTGTGTGTCACGCACATTTGCGTTAATTTAACTAATTTTGTTGGTATTCCCATTTCCAACATTGCTATCCACAATTTGTTTTTTTTTTATGGAATTATAGGCTTGCTGAAAATCTATGAAAATTTGGTGCACATCATGATTGAATTCCCAATGTTTCTCTAGTATTAGTCGAAAGATAGACGTCGTCGCCTAGAATATCTTTCGAATATGATGTGAGTCTCTTTAGCAAGATAATTGATAGCACTTTATTGTATGTGCTAATAAGCGATATGCCTCTATAGTTTTGGAATTGTTCTTTGTTTTATTTTTTATATATGGGAATTATAATGCATCCATCCCATTCTCTAGGCATTTTCTGTTGTTGCCATACTCTCAGAATGATGTCATACAATTTTTGGTGTAAAAGGTTTCCTCCTTTTTTTTTTGATCTGGGAATCTGGGATTTTCGATCTAGAAATTGATAGATGACTAAATTTTGGAGAATAAACCAGATTTTGTTTTATAGAATTTTTTGTCAATAAAATTGACATTCTTAGTAAATCAACTTTGTTTTTATTTTTAGAGGCCAAATCTCTGACGACTGAGCAGTGGTGTTTAATTAATATAAATATTTGTTGGTTGATTTATATTTTTATATTTTAATAACATTATAAAAAATAAATGATTATTTAAATTAATCTTATATTTTGTGTTTTTTTTTTTCAGGAACTGAAAATTTTCATGCGTTCAGCCCAGGCGTCTTTTTGTTTTACCACTTGTTCCTACTAGTATGGGTAATAGGAGGCTTAGGATACGTAATTATGATTATAGGATTTATTACCAAAGGTATGCAGAGTCGGCATATTCAAAAACTAGAAAGAATTCTGGCACATACAGTTAAAAGTACTCCTCAGAAGATACGAAATGAATTTCGAAGTATGTTACACGAGCTTTTATTTATGAGAGTTAAACCAGTTTATAAAGGTGAATTTGAATACACTCCGCACTATTTGGAGAGAAGTCAAAGTTGTCCAGACTTTACTATTTGGATAAATAAAAATTCTCCTACCACAGCTAGAAAACGAGCAATGTCAGAATGTTATAGATACAACGTTTTGGAAAGAGTACAATCCGAATCAGAGTTAGACAAGATAGACAAAGAACGAACTTTCAGGCCTTCGGATGCGCTTATGAAACAAAAAGATCTTCTTCTTAAAGTTGTAGATGCTTTAAGCTTGGCATCCGCTAGAGATGGTGTATGTTCAGGTTTTTCTGAAGACGAAAATATAAATAATGCAAGATACGATCCACCGCCACCCATGATGCCTAGTCACAGAAGAAGGGCTGTAAGCGACGTCAAACCTCCTCCAAAATATTTAACAGAGCAATCTGTCAATACATGGTATGGTAACGATGCGACTACAGCTCTTAAGGTATTTAAACAAAAAAGAGCTATGTCAGTTGCTCCAATTCCCGATTCCAAAAACTCCTTTATTCAACGGTTCCAAAAATCAGTTGCTAATCGATTTAGAAGATCAGATACTAGAGAAAACGATATTGAAAAACAAAATTTGGATGAATCTATTAATAGAATACGTAGCCCTAGTATTATTCCTTCTAATACTGAATCCCAAAGAAGCAGCATTCCGCAGCAAAATGTTTTAGAAGAAACGTCAATTGCTGAATTTATTAGAGCGCTTTCCGCAGTAACAGAAAGTAAATTCAAAGAACCACCAAGAAGAAAAATAGGATTAGCTAGTTTAACTCCTCCAAAATATTCACCTACTAATATATCAGCACCTTCATTCTCAAGCAGGCGGACGTCTTTAGTACCTCAAACCAGAATTCGTCCAAAGCCGCGCAGATTTTCGATGACACCAGTAGCTGAAAATATACTGAGCTCTCCTCCACCATACAGTCCTTGTGCTTCAGCAAGAAATTCGCTAACCTTGCAGGAAACACCAGAAGTAAGGAGGTTTTCTCCGCGAAAAGCTTCAACTAGTCACTCAAGTCCAGTGCGAGCACAAGCATTAAAGAGTAAAAAATTTGAAACTGAAAAAGATAGTAAAGACTGAAGAATACTTGTTATATATGGGTCCTGTTATATATAGAGATCAGTAGACTGTTGTTGGCTACAGGTGTTAGTGATTCCCAAAACAAACTTTCGTGGTACAATTAGTAAAATTGTCATACTCAATTTGAACATCAGTTTAATGATTTTAAAACTGCAAAAATAAGGTATTAAGGAAAAGAAGGCAGTAAAACAAATACTAGTTAAAATACTCAACACCGAGTTTTTATCGGTTATTTTTAGATATATGCTCTTTGATATAATTTTATTATAACTAGTAATAATGGAATATAAATAATCCCACAAAACGGTAAGAATACATATGAGTAAAGTGTTTGGACTGATAATGAAAACAACCAGTTTTTAAATACCTAAATTTTCTGATCTTATATCAATATGTTTTATCCAACGATCTTCCAATTCTATGATTTTTTCGGCTTCTATATATTAGCATATTCATCAACGTAAAGGGAAAAATCACTCGAAAAGTGTTGACATCTCTGGGCGAGACTAAGAACGTATCATCCTTCTTTTATGTTATATTTCTTTCTTTGTAAACTGATTACGTCAGTAATGATATCTTCTTCGCGTGTTACATCAGAATTATCCTACGTTAGCGATCACCATTGCGAAGGCTTTTCGATCTTCTGCAATATGGAATAATTGTCCTGCATTTGATATCTGAGTCTATTCACGAATGTTTTTTAACCAAAGAACATGTTTTCTTCCTACACCTCTTCGGCCCTCAATTTTGCCCTTAAGGATCAGTTGTAATATTTTGTATCGACGTCCCCTTACTATATGTCCCAGATAAGACATTTTTCGATGCTTAATATTGTTTAGCAGTTCTCTATCTTTGTTGACGCTCCTTAGTATTTCTTCATTCGTTTTCCTTGCTGTCCAAGGTAGCTTCAGCATTCGTCTATGAACCCACATTTCCAATGCTTCAATTTTGTTCATGATCGATACTTTTAGCGACCACATTTCTGTACTATACAAAAGTACAGACCAAACATAGTACTTAACCATTCTTTGTCTTAGTTCTAAACTGAAATGGTTATTGCAAAGAAATCACTTTATTTTCATAAAAGTAGTTTTAATTATTGCTATTCTACGTTTTATTTCTATGTCTGGATTTAGTTGGTCTGTTATCACAGTTCCCAAATATGTCATTTTGTGAACTTTCTCAACTTGGACTCCGTTTAATTGAAGCTTTGCATCGGGATGTGGCTCACAACTAAACACTAAAAATTTGGTTTTGATTGGGTTTATTTTAATGCCCATTTCCTCTCCTACCTCGTGAATACGATAAGGCAGAATTTGAAGAACTTCATTATTATCTGATAGAATTACTGTATCGTCTGCATATCTAATCAGATTAAGTTATGCCCCGTTGATTTTTATTCCATATGGGTGTCCCTCAAGTGCCTTTTAAATAAATGGTCCGAGTAAACATTGAACAATGTTGGCGACAAAATGCAACCTTGTCCGACTCCTCGTTATATAGAGATTTCATCGGTATAGATATCTTCTTGTTATCTATTTCGATGTTTTTTAGTATTGGCATTAATTTTGCATGCTGTACTTTATCGAATGATTTCCCGAAGTCCATGAAACATGCAAATGCATCTTTTCTTTGCTCACGGCAGTTTTGTAATAGGATGTTAAGCGCAAAAAGTGCCTCCCTGGTTCTCATAGCATTTCTAAAACCAAATAGGGTAGTTAAGAATGTGTCATTAGGCTAATTAATCGATATTCTGAGCATTTTCTCGCATTGTGTCTATTAAGTATTGCGACAAATATGGTTGGTGTATCACCTGGGCCACAAGCTTATCTAATCTGACTTCTGTTTTTTATTTTATTGTTAAATTCTTTTTTAATGTTATCATTTATGTTTATATCATATATGTCAAAGATAAGTACATTGGTTATTGGTTTTTGTTGCTGAATTCTTTTTAACCTTAGTTTAATGTCCTCTACAAGTAGTTGATGATCAGATCCAATATCTGCTCCAGATATAGTGACTCTTTTGACGGCATTTCGGAAACGTTCATTTACCAGTATATAGTCTATTAGATTTCTTAAAGACTCAGGGTTATTGCCATCATCAAATGGGGCTTTCCAAGTGTATAGTCGTCGCTTGGGTAGTTTATACCAGGTGTTTGCAATGATCATATCATTTTGTTTCAGTAATGGTAAAACATAATATTTTAGTTACTTACTTCTCTTCTTAAGATTACTAGTTGATCCATATTTGAAAAAAAAACTAAAACCCAATAAAAGACAAAAATACATGATAATGTATTTGAAATCTACTAAAAATTTTTGTTTAGCAACAAGTTATCAGGTAACTATAAGAGTTTTATCATCCACTTTATTTTTATTTACCACTTTAGCAAAATATTTGAAACGTTCAATATTAGCAAATGCTGATATATTCAAAATAACACTTATGCGATCTGTAGCTGATGGATATTATCATATAATAATATATACCTATTTTGTAATGATTTCTAAAATTTGTACATTTTCGTTTGGGTCAGTATGAAACAAGTTAAAGATAACGTTTAGTAAAAAAATTAGATTAATTTTCTAAATTCTGAATTGATTTTAACAGAGAATTCATACCGTATGACAATATATCTATGACGGAAGTCTTGTATCCCGCAGAAATCAATGGAATTAATACCGAGCCGCAAGGTCCGATCTCCTGTAGTACTGCTCATACTGCGTATTCTGGTTTCAGTCGCAAATTGATTTTATTTTCATTTCATTCATTTAGATTTTATAATATCACGTTCAACTTTTTTTCTGGTCGGTATTTGAACCATCAATTTACTAAATCCCTCAGAGCAAAGTAAGTGTCCTTATTATATATTAAAATTAGATACAGTTATCTTCTTCTTCTTCACGTGCCATCTCCGCGATGGAGGTTGGCAATCATCATGGCTATTCTGATCTTAGATGCTGCTGCTCTGAATAGTTCAATTGATGTGCATCCGTACCATTCCCTCAAGTTACGCAACCATGAGATTCTTCTTCTTCCTACACTTCTCTTGTCCTGGATTTTTTCTTGTATAATTAATTGAAGTAGGTTGTATCTCTCATTACGCATAACATGCCCCATATATTGCAGCTTTCGTGTCTTGATAGTTTTCAATACTTCCATTCTTTTGTTGATTCTTATCATGACTTCGTTGTTTGTTATATCCTAGGTCCATAATATCTTCAGGATTCTTCTATACACCCACATTTCAAATGCTTCCAACTTTTTAGCAGTCGACGCGTTAAGTGTCCATGCTTTCATCCCATAAAGCAGAGTCGAGAAAATATAACACCTTACCAGCCCACTCTCACGTCCAATTTTAGTTCTCTACACTTCAAATATATAGCATACCAACAGAGGCTCTAAAAGCAAAGGGCGAGATTGGCGTAGATGTATTACTGGATATGTTCAATTTGATGTGGATCACAGGTGAATAGCCTGATGAGTAATGCGAATCACCCTTTATCCCTATTAATAAAAAAGGATCGCTAACCGTATGCAGCAATTACAGAACCATTCTACCTCCCTTTCCATCAACACCTCACACATCACGATCCGTTCGTTTTCGCATTGTCTTTACGTTTGCTTTTTATCTTAACATAATCACCTCCCCTACCTATCGATATGTCGCACATTATTATACGTTGAGTCGTTTGGACGTTACAAGCGTAGTGTCCTTTTGGCATTGTATTTTGCGTTTCTTTTTTTATGTTAACGTATTCACTACCCTCTTACCATTCCAACGAGCCCTCGTACGTCATGATCTGACCAATATCAATGAAGATATGACGAAATGCCGTTTTGGCACAGTTTTTGCGTTTGATTTTTACTAAAATGACTAGCGCCGCGTAGCGGATAATAGTCAAACTATGGCGTCATCGGTTTCGATCCTGACTAATTGGTTCATGCTAGGCCGGTAATGCAGATCCAATGCTTACCGACATTGGCGCCAGTGACGTCACACTGTCTGTCTCAAGCGACCCATTCCCTACTGATTCTGCTGTGGATTTCTGAGGTGGTTTTCAAAATCCTGCGACATAAATCAATGAAAGGCTAAAGAATTTTCTACTTTCACTGAATACTATCACCATTATTATACAACATATATTTTAAATATAGAATGAAGAAAGTAATAGACGAATGTAATGGAGGAATTACTATAGGAGGCAGATAAATCAGTAACCTGCGATACACTTACACTAACAGTAAATGAAACCGAAATAAATTATTACCGTCACCGAACACTTAAGCTGCATAAGCAAAGGTTTTGGAGTTGAGATCAAGAATTAAAAAACCAAAATAATAATCTACAGCATGTACACCAAGTGAAAAATTTCGAAGTGGTAGACAGATTTGCATACTAGCATATTAGATTATATAAATATAAATTTATATCAAAGAGTATTTTACATTCATTTTTTCGTAAAAATTTAGACGGGTTAAATCAAAGAAATCGTTTTATCTACTTATGAAACTTGATCGTGGCCTTTATCAAGTGCCTTTCTAATGACTGAAAAAATACACCAGTAATTTTGAGGTACAATTCTAGGTTAATATACAGCAAAAGTAGTATTTAGGGTAACATTCTATTAAACTGGTAATTATTTGTATTCCACAACTTATTTGAGAATTATAAAGTTCCGGTCAAATCAAACTAGCAACACTTTTTTATATATCATGCGAAATTCTTTCCGACAACTATAGTGAACTTTAAAAGGAAATCTTTTACTTTTAATCTTTTAAATATATATAATTATAACTGAGTGACATATCCAAAGCATAAACATCTCGTAGAATAAGCTATATCCCTGGACTCTGAGCTGCTGATCAAGATTAAGCCTCAATCAGTATTCGACATATCGTTATAGAAAAGTGTTTTTCTTTTTTCGTTAGATAAACATTAGAATATTTTTTGAGTAACATGCAATTACTTAAAAACGTATTTTGGGCTTTGGATTCATTGTCAATTGGTAATGATATGTGTCAAAGAAGTTTTGAGAAAAAATTTACCCTAATATATGAGATAAAATACCTAAATTTATTAAAACGATATTTATATCTACATTTTGTATAAGTACAAAAGATATTTAGATAAAGGCTTATTGTATTCTGTGTCTTTAATGTCTGAGTCCTCTGAAAAATCTGTCACCTCAATCGTTGCTAATAATTGGCTCAAGCGTTCTCAAGTTTATAGTTACTAGGAAATATGAAAATTATGGTTACTATTATACTGGTAGATTTTTTCTCAAAACTTTGGTGGCATATGCCACTTTATTTGTATTTCGTATGTAAAAGGTAACACTTGTTTTTGATTTTTGTCATTGTTTTTGAATACAATTTATGTCAGTATTAGTAACTTTACGAAAATAATTGTCTCAATATCTTTGTTAATATTATTAAAAGACATAAATACAACATAAGCAATGTTATAGATATAGAATGTTAAGAATATTACCCTGTTAATTATAATACGATTGTGATATATTGTTAAAATATCAGTATTGTAAATAAATAATTTTTTTATTTTATAAAAATATTATTTTATTTTGCACTTTTTGTACGTGTTGATTATGTTGAATCTTCGTTATCTCTCAACCTATGCGAGACATTAAAGTACTAAAAAGCATTAAACCATTGGTACTACTGAAATAATGACAGTTGACGTAAAAATTCATTTGAAGTCAAAAAAACTTTTACGTCCAATATATTCACGAATTTATTGACATAGACTTCTTCTTCTTCTTAGTCGTTAACCTGATGCAGGTATCGTGATATCATGAAGCTATTAGCTTAATTTCCCAATGTTCCTCCACGATTTTCTATCTTCTGCCATTCTAACACATTCTGACAATGGAGCGCCAATGGTAGCAACAACATGGTTCGTGTATCGTATGGGAGATCTACCTCTATTTCTTTTGCCTTCTACTTTTTCCTGGATGGTAAGTTTTTCAAAACCATTTCTTCGAAGCACATGTCCAAAATAGCTTATTATTTGTTTTGATATTTGTGTTCTTAGTCTATTCGTTATGTTTAGCTGGTCCGGTATGGATTCATTTGTTCTTCGGGCCACCCATGGTATTCTCAGCATTCGTCTCCAGCAGTACATATCAAATACATCTATGTTCTTTTTGTCTTTCTCAGTAAGGGTCCAGCATTCCGATGCATAAGTAAAAACTGGAAAAACTAGACTTCTTACTAGTCTCATTTTTGTATCGGTAGTAATTTCATGGCTTTTCCAAATTTTTGTTAATTTTGCCATAGCGCTTTTTGCGATGGCCGACCGCCTTTTATTTCTTCAGTACAGCCTCCTTTGTTGGTTATTAATGAGCCCAGATACATAAATTTATCTACAACAGCGAAATTGTTTATCACGACCCGATGATTTTGATTGTTGTTAGCTCTGTCAATTATCATGATTCTCGTTTTATCTATGTTTATTTTAAGGCCCATCGTTAAGCTTACGTCTTCTATCCGTTGTAGCAGGTGAATCAATTTAGCTTCAGAACTAGCGAGGATAGTAGTATTATCTGCATATCTCAAGTTGCAAATTTTCTTCCCGCCAATGGTGATGCCACCGTTCCAGTCCTCAGTAGCTTTCCGCATTATCCATTCACCATTAATGGTAACCAGATGTTAAATAGAATTGGGCTTAGTATGCAACCTTGTCTCACGCCCTTTGTGACCCTGAAACTATCGGTTAGTTCCTCATTTATTATATCTCTGGCATAATTGTTATTGTACAGGCTTTTAATTAGCAGTATCAGATGATTGGGGACTCCCATTTCAGACAAAACCTGCCACATTTTACTCCAGTTGACCAAATCAAAAGCTTTACTATATTCTATGAAGCACAAATATGTTGTGCTGTTGAATTCACTGGATTTTTCTACAATCTGCCGTACGTTTAAAATTTGTTCTCTAATACCACGTCCGGGGACGAAACCTGCTTGTTCCTCTGCAATGTTAGGTAGTAAAAAGGGCTTTATCCTCTCGAGAATTATGTGTAAGAGTATCTTACTGCAATGCGCAATTGGAGCAATTGTGCGATAGTTGCTACATAAATCTTTCGCTCCCTTTTTATGTAAGGGAATATATAGTGATTGTGTCCAGTCCTCAGGCCATTTACCTGTCTCCCATACTCTTTGACAAATTTGATGTATTATATCCACTCCAACGTCATCTAGGGCCCAAATCATTTCAATAGATAAGTTATCTGGACCGGCAGCTTTCTGACTTTTTTGCCTCATAATTGCTGCTTCAACTTCACTTTTGAGTACGTCAGGTTCCGCTGCAAAACTGGCATCTTCTTGTTGTGATGGGGATGTGCTTTCCTCCATCATCAGTCATTCACAGTATTCTTTCCATCTGTGTAAAATATCTTTTTTAGAAGTTAGTAGAGTTCCGTTATCATCTTTGATAGTAAGGTAGTTTGGTGTAAAGGAACGTGTTATCTGCTATATTTTTTTAAACATGTCCCTGGTGTCAGTTTTGGTTTTATGCCCTTCTATTTCCATGCAAATTTTGTTCAAGTGTGTGTTCTTGTCCTTTTTGCAAAGTCGTTTTACTTGACCGTTCAGCGCTTTATAGGCCTGTTTATCACTTTCAATGTTCAGTCCTGTGGCTTTTAAGCACTTCTTTTCCTGTATTTTAGTCCACGTGGAGTCTGTTATCCATTGTTTACTTTTTTTTTTTCTCTATACTCTTAATATTTTTCGCAGCATTATGCAATATGGATTTTGTTTTTGTCCATATGCTATTTAAGGACTCTTTTGGATTTAATGATTGTTTGAGGTCTTATAGCGTTTGCATTGCGGCTTTTTTGTACGGATCGTTATATCTTAGATGCCATTTAGTTGTTGTATTTCCTGTTTTTGGACTGTTTCTTAACTTCATGCGGAATTTATTTCCTGGTGATATCCAAGTGTATAGATGTCTTGGGTGATGTTGAAATCCTGTATTAGTAACAAACAGGTTGTTGTCTATACAAAAATGTAGCAAGCGTTCTCCTCTGTCATTTCTTTGGCCAAGTCCATATAATCCGACGGTCTCTCGCAAGTAATGATCTTCTGTAGTTACATCAATTTTAGCGTTGAAATCGCCTACGACTGCTGTGATTTATCTATTTGGAAGCTTCCTAAGCGTCTGCTCCAACGTACTATAAAATGTTTCGATCTCTTCATCGTGAGCTTCGCTTGTTGGGGCATATGTTTCTACCACATTAAGATTAACTAGACTGGCATTCATTCTGACAACAATTATCCAATCGCTGACGGTTATCTATTCTTTTATGGTGGTTTTAATGGCATTATTTACTATCACTGCCACGCCATTCCGAGATTCGTTATCATTGGCGGAGAAATAAATATCATTGCCATTTTTTGACGTATAATGTCCTTTATCCTTCCAGTGGGTTTTAGATAAACCTACAATGGGATAATTGTGTATCTCGTTTTCCACTACATTCAATTTTCCGGGTTCCAGCAATCCTCGAACATTTCACGTACCAATTTTAAGGGTGCTCCATATTTTTATGCTTCTTCCAGACTCAGAGTTTCCATGGCGTGCCTGGTTTCTCACAACATCATGGCCGGTAGCCCATTTCACACCATCAGCCCCGGACGCGGGTTGGCGCCAATTGCTAGTTGGATCGCTTGGCATACTGATATGTTTAGAGGAGGCATTGATGCATAAATTCATGGATTTCTTCGTGAATTTAGTGTTGGTGTAAAGCCCGCATAAGGCGTGACATATCTGTGAAATGGATTGATATTGGTATAATCCATGATAGACATTTGTGGAGAAATGTAATTCGGGAAGCAGACCCGGCATTTAGATAAAGGTAAAGATAATTATGAATGCAGAAAATGCACTTGTGTTGTAATTACATGTATTAATATACCACGTAATACACAAAGTAAACAAAATTAGGTCAAATAATGTATTAATTATTTAGCAGACTTTTCATCACATTTTATTAGAAATATCATCTACCTTGTAATTAAAAATATTGCAATTAGTTAAACGTTCTTATTTAGTATCGATCAAATAAATGCATTTAAATACCAAAGACGAATTTGACTCAAACTTAAAACCGAGAAAAACCATGTACGGTAAAGACGAAAAGTACTGTGAAGATTTCTTCTGGTTAAATCGGTGGATTTTAAAATCTGTAGGACTATGGAAAGCCGAAATGTCCAACAAATTCCTTCAGTACTTATACATATTTTACAGAATTGCTACCCTACTGTTTGTGAACATATTTTTTCCTGCAACGGAAATTGTGAATTTGTACAATGCTGCAGATCTTTATAAATTCCTCAAAAATTTAAGTGTAACAGTGACACATTTGCTAGGACTAATAAAGGTAATAAATAGGTTTAGTAAACAAGCACATAACTTAAACTAACATAAACATTTCTCTGAATAACTCATTTTTTTTTTAATTCAAATTAACGTGTCTTGACATCTTTGATCATTGACATGGAAGCAACGGTTTACAATAGTACCTGCAGAGTTATGATATAGAGTTTACAATACTAAAGGATAACAATATTATGTAAATTATATTTTAATAAACAACGGTACAGTCTTTAAGAAGTCTATTAGGCTCTTGAGTCTGTTTTAACAGTTCAGAAGTTCTTTTATACTGTGGGCTATATTGTTGGCAATGCTAGTGGCCTGGTAGTGTTGACATTCTATAAGGATGTGCTTGACTGAGATAGGAATATCGTTGTAGTAGGAGCATAACTGCTGGTCTGTAAAGGACATATGATGACTGTGTGTCAAACGTGTGTGTCCTATCCTCAATCTTCGTATTGTTAGGTTAGGTTAGGTTAGGTTAGGTTAGGTGGTCCTATCCTCAATCTTCGTATTGTTACATTTTCTTTTCTGTTCAGAGATGCTAGGGATAAATAACTGTTAACATGGTTGTATTTCTCTGATCTTTGCGTCTTTGGTGATTTAAAGTTCCTGCCACTTGCCTTGGATATTTCTTTTGAATTTTGATTTTATATTTTCTTGAAGCTGTATGTTGTATACGGGAAAGTTGGATGTAGATGCTTCTTTTGCAGCGCTCTAAGCCATCTTATTTCCTTGGATGCCGATTTAAGAAGGCACACATACTACTGTTATTAAAATCCCTCGAAAAGTGTAAAGTTGGATCAATTCTAGTATTTTTTGCACTAGGGGAGGTTAATTGAAAATATTTTCTTACGAATGAATTGCGGATAAAGAATCGGTGCACAGAGCTACACTTTGATGATTGTCAAAAGGGAACTCAAGAGCTTTTATGATTAGGGAACTCAACCCTAATCTGTGCAGGTTTGAAGTAGCTGATGAAATAGTTTTTATAAGTAAACAGTTTTTCATTAATTAATAGTTTGAGCTCTTACTGTGTGGAATTCCATTACATAAAATAATACCCTTGACACCTTAAAAATTCTAGTTTATTATAAATGAACTCTCTCTCTTCCAATATCCATTGTAATAATGACTTGTAATGTTTGTGTGACTAGTGGCATTGTTCTTGA